CATAACGGCTCTCTCGGTAAGCGCTGACTCAGTTCTTCATGTCTCTGTTGTCGTTTCAGCTCCTATTCATGACGCTGGATTGTATCTTGTCTTCGGATAAGTGTTTGAGAGAATAGCATGAATGTTTCGTGATCTTTCCACGCTCTGAGAAAGGCGACGATGCCGAAACTTCAGCCGTAATAAAGTAATTGACAATTTTGAAAGAATAGTTTCTGGAAAACGCTCGTCTCTTCCACATTTGCTGCTACCCTTCTAACGTCGCGGACATGCCACGTGTAACTAACACGTTGGCAACGTTGGCAGCAACGCGTTGGCAACATGCCAGAACATGTTGGCGTGGACAAAATGTTCTGCCAACATGTTGTGGCATGCTGCAAACATGTTGTTGCCACGTTGCCTACATGTTAGCCACACGTGGCAAGTCTGAGACGCAAACCAAGGGTAGCACGAGCTGTGGAGGGGACTATACTACGTTGTGATAGCGCAAAGCCTCCACATTGTTTACATCAATGTGTTGCAGAAGATTCACAGTATCTTCAGCTACGAAGTAAGTTGTGAAAACTAAAAATTTTGATATCCAAGCTTTGCAAAAGCACTTGGTTGAAAAATCCAATTCTTACAACAACGTGGGCAAGCGTTTTCTGCTAGGTAGAATGTGATTTGTAGAAGATGATGGTGCATTATGTGGCACAAATTTGGAATCAAACAGTATTTTCGTAAAAAGTCGGCTCTTAGACTTTTGCCCTACCCTGCCCTGTACATTCGAACGATCTTTTGACCGAAGCTGATGACCAAAGCCACCTCTGCAAGGCGGGGCTTAATCTACAAAAGTAAACCTACACCATGAAACTTTGGAATCACTATCATAAGTTTTTAGTCTTCTACAAACGATGATTTCTGAAAAATCAATTTAGCAGAAGCTAAGAGGGTGAAGCTTCCGTGATCTGATATTATTAAGTTCATCGACTTTTCAGCCACGCAAAATTTATAGGAACTGAACATACAAAATTGAAGCGAAAGTTGTGCGCAATCAAGAAGAAATCATTTCAAATCATACCTTCGATACATAGAGCCACGTACTCTGGTGACCTTCACTTTGAGCGTCATGATAGAACACAACCTTCACCTAAAGGGAAGTCATCCGGGGCGAAGCCCTGGATATCATGGCATAACTAATGACATATCCATATAGCAGTGGCGTACCCAGGATTTCGGCTCGGGGGGGGGGGGGGGGCGCGACAAAAATTTTTTTCTAAAGAAGGTGCGTGGCGTTAGCCACGCATTCCGAAAAAATTTTGGGGGTGCTTCCCAAAATTTTTTCGGGTCCCAGACCCCTAAAATCTGGAAAAAGGGGGCGTGGCTGGCGCCACGCCCCGAAAAAAAAATTTTTTACAGGGCTAATTTGAATTTTTAAAAATTTTTAAAAATTATTTTAATTATTTACAAAAATAAACAAGTCACTTACACATTTTTATAACCCATATAAGTAACTTTCAAAAATTTCGCGACCCATTCTGGGGGGGGGGGGCGCGCGCCCCCCCCGCCCCCCCCCCCCCTCGGTACGCCACTGCCATATAGGGAGAGTTGTGAATGAGGTAAATATAGTAGTGACATCCAAAAGAAGCTCAAAAAACTGAAGGATTACGTTTTTATGGCCCTTTTTTGCCAAAAAGACTTTTATTCAAAAAATCAATTAAGAACTGGAGCAAAATTCCTCAATTAATCTTTCTCTAGACTTCGATCGAGCGTTGGAAGTTCATGAAAGCCGCTGGAGTTCAATAGAAACGAGAAACTACGCTCAAATCTTGTGCAGAGAGTCGCTACTTAAATGGGTCTATCTCGTTATGGAGTGATTTTTAAGACCCGCGACGTTGTCAGTGCTCCTGGACGTCTCATGAGGATCACAACGATATATAATATTACAGGGTTTCGTTATGATCCCGCGGAGATCAATGATCAAAGCCAAATGCCCCGCCGGCTCTGCTCTGTCTCCGCTGCTCTCTGCGTCTCCGCGAGTTGCGCGCTACCTCGCTACCACAAAAGCGGGGCGCGAGGCATTTGGCTCTGGTACCCTTTTCTTCGTTGTTGGGAGCTCAATTTCGACAATCTATATATCATATCAAAGCTCTTGATCTCTATTTTCACGCTGATAACGTCGCAAGACTCCTCTTTATGATTTAAACGAGAAATATAGGAAAAACGGAGTTTTCGAAAACCTCTTGTTTTTTCTTCAGTTCAACTCTTTTCACTCGGTTTTTTTGTGTATTCGATAGGTCTTGTTTCTGTCTATGATGTAGATAACGTCGCCGAGCTTATTTCTTTGCTTATGCCGGTTTTTTGTGAAAATTACCAAAAAGTGCGTTTTTCTTTACCTTGTTCTTTTTCAATGCTTTTGCAACGAATTTTCTCCAGCTTGGACGTCACTTGCTCAGAATAATGAGCGGAAGAATCCAGACAACGTCGCAGGATACGAAACGACCATGCAGGGGTGAAAATTCAAAGGACGCGTCAAAAATCAGATTGGCGTCGATGTGCAGCATAACTTTTCAGACATGTTTGACATGTTCAGTTCAGTTGTTGACAAGTTTGCCTTCTTTCGGTCTCCCAACTACCGCCACGCTAACGCTTTTTTTTCAATTAGAAAAGAACTTTGTTCCTGTTGCCACCCAATTTAACAGGCAATTCTGAAGACGAAAATGTGCATAGGGAACCACCAAGATGAAGTTTTAAATTTGGTGATGTGTTAGCCTCTGTTTTATATGAATTTTTCGAGTTTCCTGATTTGATTCAGATCTCTAAATTTCCATCTATTTTTTCTAAAACAACCTTCACTTTTTATAGGGGGCAAAAACTCAAACAACTATCACTTTCTAGGCTCTGTCTCTTGACTATCGAAATTATGTTTCAAATTCTAAACTCTGTATTTATAAAATAGGTTTTCGCTTACGACAGTTATCTACATTCAAATTTCAATTGATTGATTGATTAATAAGAAAAAGCAAACTTCCAAACAGCATATTTTTGTAGCTTAATTTGGTAGCAAAAATGCTGAAGTCCAGAATTCAGCTTCCAAAAAATCTGCAAAATTTCCCTACCGGTTTTCCTGTCCGTACATAATTGAGGCAGCTTTAATTTTGCATGATGCGACACGAAAGTTTGTGGGAAACTTCGTTCTGCAGAGAGGAAATCCTCTCAATAACCGCATTTTCTTCCTGAAAACGCAGCTCGAGAGCACAATTTTGAGTGGGTTTTTTGTGGACTGACAACTTTACAAAATCCTTGTTTTTCATTTTTACGAGAGGTTTACCTAAGTCAGTTGTTTGGGTCTTTGTTTCTTTGGGTGACAAACTGTGTTCTCCTAAAGAATTTATTATTGAAAGGGTCTCTTGTGGACTGACATCTTCACAAAATCCTTGGTTTTGGATTTCCACGAGAGGTTATAGCGCTATATTACATTTTAACGGATTTTTTTAGTGCAGAGCCATACTCTAGTATTTTCCTAGGCTTAACTCTCATTACGAACTTTGAAATGCAATTTTCAAGGACTTGAATTTTTAAGTCTAGCCCGAAACCGACTTGCAGTTATAACGGTAAAAGAAAGAAAAAATAATTGGAAGGGGAAAGGAGACAAGAGTGTATAAGCCACTAGAGCATATAGTTATTCGATCACAAAATGTCGAGTAATCAAATAACTTCCGAAATTAAATATTCGAATGTTCGAATATATTCGAAAAACAAAATTCTCGAATAATCGAATAATCGAACAAATTCGAAAATGACAATTTGCGAATAAGCGAATATCGAATATATTCGATATTTTAAAGTTTTTGGATAATCGAATTTCGAGTAAATTTTATTCGAATACTTATTCGAATATTCGACTATTTATTCAATTCGGTCCGAAGTATAGTGGCAATCGTAATCGATCAAGGCGCGCTGGGTCTCGTGCGAAAAAACGCCCGCACGGGAGACGGCCCTTCTGAACCGCTAGCATTAGCAGCCTAATTACTGCGCGCCTCTGATTGGTCGGCGCTGCCGCTGCGCCTGGGTAGGCGAGAGCTATGCTGTTGTTAGAGACATCTGAAGTGGACTGCAAAGGCATTCTCATGATGAAGAGAATTAAACAAGATTTCGAGTTTCCCATGAAACTCAAAAATGTTATACGTGGGCGGCTTAGGTAAATTCTTTAGCTTGCATGTGCAGACTTCATGGCGTTTTGAAAAAAAGTGGGAATGGCAAAAAATCAGGAAAGCCCAGTAAAAAAACACGCAACTTTTCAAACTTTCTGTCTTCATAATTCAAACATCGTCACTATCATTATTCATGTGCCTTGCTTGCTTTGAAATGCTCAGAAATATTTGAAAACTCTGATAGATTTTAAGAAAGGCGAAGTAATTAGCGCCGCCCGGGCAGAGTAATTAGCGCTAGGACGAAGCGGTTCAGAAGGGCACACACCCCGCCCGCACCCCCCCCCCCCCCCCAACTCCCATGATTGTCTGCAGCTAGCAGCGGGGTGGTTTTGGAAGTAGCGTACCAACTGACGTGTCACACCACCCATCCTATCTCAAACGGCCACTGCGATTTGTGACATTCTCCTTGTCAGACTGCAACACAGGGTGGAGGACATTAGGTCGCCGAATTTGGAAGAGTCCCGCGCGGATTCCCTGCAGGAACGCATGTCCGCGTATGTACAAGGGTGCGTATTTGTCGCAAATGACCGCGGGGACCGCCCTCTTTCGGCGACCTAATGTCCTCCACCCTGCAACACACCTTGCCGGGGCGTATCATTTGCCTCGCTCTGGCTCAAAAGTGCTGCGCCAGTGACAAAGTGTCGCCCGGGCTTGAAGGGCCCTTCAAGATTTTCCCATTTCCATCCATAAATTTCTTCTGTAAATTGTTTCTTATCTTTTAAACGTTTCTGGAGAAGGTAGAAAGTGTATTTCCAGTCAAACTGCTGTTAAAATTCCGTCCTTACGGGTAGGAGGAGATCTGGGGCAGCAATGCAAGGTCAAGATCTGACCATAGGATTTGAGGCAGAAACATTCTGTCCGAAGCAAGATTTATACCTTAGTCCGATAGCCAGGATAGATATCAGTATAAAGTTGCCCAAGGTTAGTTGAAGTTCTTTGCTTGTTCGTATTACAATCTAACACAAGAATTCTCTATCTCAATTTGGGAATGTGTGAAACATGATGATTTCATGTTAGTCTTTGGCCTGGAAGTGTTTGTCACTTGGGCTTAAGCTCAACAATGAAAAGCTTTGAAAAAGTAGGAAAGTGAGAGCGAAATTAAAACGAGGATATTCTGGCTACGTCTGTAGAATGTAATGTAAGGACATGAGTAATTTCTTTCTAGTTCACCATTCCTGGTCAGTCAATCTCGAATTGGGATCTCATGGAGCGATTAAAGAAAGGCATAGCGCCACTTGAAGTGAGTTGTTTGGACCCTTTTTGTGTTATGGGGAACGAGCACTGGCTATATGGAAATTTGCAGTTTGCTTCCATTCGTGTCACGGAAAGTTCACTCGAGGGTGTATCTCTGGAAGCAGACCTGGTATCGAAGAAAATCATGAGACAGGTATTTGCCGCGTTTTTCCTGTATTTTCCGCGTATCTATTGAATACCTGTTCAGGTTATGAAAATACTGGATTCCCTTACCGTGAAAGTCAGCGGGTTCAGCGATCCTGTGCGGGTGCGCGCCACGGAAGCAAGATGCGATTTTCCCAGGTGAGTAAGTGTTTTTTATACTTTCTTTTGAAGGTCATCTCTTTTAGACGTCATGATTGGGACCTGTTTTTCATGAAGAATAAGCTAGATGAAAGTAAACCGGGTGAGCGACCGGACACCGTTTATCTCGAGAAAATACCAATCAAATGGTTTGCGGTTAGTCCTGATGGTCTTACTTTCATATACTCCAGATGAAGGTGGCGTAATGCGATTTGTGTTAAATAGATTTCACGCAGTGATTATTTTGCTTGAGTCATCTAATTTTTCTTGTTCACTTTTCTCCCCCTCCCCCGTCCATCTCCGGGTAGAGGGTTATATGTCGCCGAGGAGCTCCCCGCGGGCATCTACAACATTTACATACCTCTGGCATGTATAAGACGTGCGCATTCATCGCAGTTATTCGCTAGGTACCTTCCTCCGGCGAAACGTAGTCCCATACCCACTATTTTACGATATTCGGCCGAAGCGGGATGATTGCTTAGGCCAACCTTGCTCATATCTGACATCTGTGATCGGCTTCGAGATTCGTGTGGAGGCGGGTTGCGGACTTTTCTTGATTCTAAGGACTTAGTTTGAGAGAGTACGGAGAATAATGCTGTAAGTGGAAGTTCAACAAGTTTATCCTTACAATCAGGGAAAGTCCGCAACTCGCCTCCACACGAATCTGGAAGCCGATTCTAGTTGACCGCATCCGTACTCGAAAGTTAATTGCGGCAATCGTCTCTGGTATGAATATCTGAATGTTGAAATATGCTCGTGGATCACAATGAACGGCATGTGTTCATCTCGGCGAATTGCCATTCTAGGAGAAAGGATGCGATAAGCCGAACGAACACCTTTTTCGTACAGCCATGGAAACTTTTGGGAAAGTACGATTGGTGGACATCCCGTCTCTTGATGATCTCAGGAAAGAAATGAGCCCACAAATTAGTGGTATCAAGCCCAAAGCTTTCTCATTTGGCCAGGTTGGTATTCAGCTAGGACATATTATTTTGTACATTACGAATTCAAGTATTTGTAGGATGTTTTTTTCGAAGCGTTTGTGCAATACACCGAGTACGCTGGTTTTGCGCAAGCTATGGTGTCATTCCAGAACATGAAATGGACGAAGAAAATTGATGGCAAAGTGTTCCATGCCAACGTTAAGGTCAGTAACTGCTCTTATCTCAGAATCTCCTAGCCTCAATTTTATCATTGTTTGGGTTTTCACCCTTTCCAACAATATGATGTCACCACTGCTAAAATTTTTCTTTCATGAATCGGCGGTGGTGGATGATTGCGACCGTACTCTCAGGTGGACTTCGATCGAACGCGACACTTGAGCGATTCTTCTGTTAAACGACGACAAGCTGAGCGCGAAAAAATTCTTGCCGAAAGGCGGCGATTAGTTGAGGAGGAAAAGCGCCGAATGTCAGCGCCATATCTAATAGCCTCGTATATTAGCGCTCAACTTCAGGCAGTAAAGTATATTTTAGTGCTGAAGAGGAAGCGAAAGCTCGTCGAATTTTGGAAGAAAAAGAAAAAAGACGTGAAGAGCGAGAACGAAAAAGGAAAGAAAAGGTTCCATAAGTTTGACTTTATGGGTTGATTGCTTAGAATAATCAATAACTTCAATTTTTCAGTACGAAGCTGAGCGTTTACGAAAAGAGCAAGAACGTCTGAGACGAGAAGAAGAAGAAAGACTTGCTAGAGAAGCTGAGCTTGCCAAATTACGAGAGCTCGAGACACGCGTTGCAGAATCTCGACATCTCCTTACAAGTGTTTTTGCTCATATTCAGGTTTGTAGTAGTGCAGATTTTATTTTCATGTGTCCCTTTTGCTAAAGTGCCTTTTTTCGTGCAAGAGTATGCTGATTGAATGAATGATATAGCGAAAAGAAGATCGTCGGAAAGAAGTACAAGAAGCGCGGATTAGAGCAGAGCAGCGCGTTGTTGAACTCCAAGATGTTCCATTAGAAGACAAGGAACATGTTCTTAGGACTATGCTTCTGCGTCAGCGTGAACTTCGTATGCGTGAAGAGGTAACATTTTCAACACTTTTTTCTTAGCCTTACTTACCCTTTTTTATTGGAAACTAACTTGATTTTGAATTTTTGTGCACTTTGGTATCTGGGCTAATGATTCATATTTATCATGTTGAAGAATGTTGATTTTGAATTTTTGTGCACTTTGGTATCTGGTCAACTGTCGTAATGATTCATATTCATCATGTTGAAGAATGAGATCTGGGTTCTTGCCATTAGCTTTTGGCTTTGAAAATTTGTCGATTTGCTGCAAAGTGCTTTTCCAGTGTAATAATCTAAACCAGCTGGAGACCGCTTGGAGCTGATTTCATGCTTTTTTCTTATCTGTCTTGAGCCACTGCACGCTGGGTTTAGAGTGATTTAGATCGTATATCTTCAGGGGCAACGGATACTTCCTTCCATTACATTCATGCTCATTGGTTCTTTTGAGCGCTGGAGGGACCAAACTCTTCATTTAGTCCTGCATTCATTTTTCAACAAAAAAATACCTTGAACGCTAGTCTAAATGCACAAGGGAGCTACTAAAACATTTATCAGCGTTCTTTGCTTTTTGAAGAGGTATACAGTTCATTTGGGAAGGCTACTTCGATCAAAAACGCTTCCCTTGCTAGCATCGACTCATTGTGTTTTGATAGGGTATTGAGCAGTTTGCCTTTTCGAACACGTTGCTTATGCACTGCAGTTTTTGCTAATTGATCTATCAACTGATCCTCTGAACTTTCACTTGATTCATTTTAGTTGAAAGAGAAGATGGCACGCGCCCTCGAACAATTAACGCGCTCTGCTAATGGATCAGAGAAGAAACATGAAACGGGTTCGCCGAATGGAGCTGCAAATTCATCCAGTGATAGTTCGCCGGAGTCGGAAAGTAGTCCTGAGCGCATTCGCAGAAAAAAGCGTCACTCCACAACTAGTGAAAGAACGAGGAGTAGAATTGAGAAGCACAAATCGACGGTTACGAAGTCTAGATCGAAACGTCATGATACATCCGATTCTGATGATGAGCGTCCAAGAAAGCGTAGATCCAAGAATAGTAGCTCCTCAGATAGTGACAGGGAGCATCGTAGGCATCGTAGGCACGATAGCTCGGAAAGTGATCATCGTAGCAGTACCAGAAGCCGTCACCGGCGTGAACACAAAAAGAATAAGAAACGAAGGAGAAGTAAGTAGACAGTTTTTGAATAGAAAATGATTTTAGTAATACGGTTGATTTGCTGTTCTCATTTTTTTATTTGTTAATGATGTGCGATAATATTGAAAGCGATAGATCTACGGTTGCTGTCAAATACTCCTTCTGGAGAATGTTATGCACTTTTCTGTGACATCTTTGATTGTGAGATTGATTTTGAGCTTATAATGTATTTACTTATAATTGCAATTTTGTGTAATCTTTTATAAATGTTTTACTTGAAATTGTAGGATCTGTTCCAACCGGCAATACGTTGCACAAGCTCTTGTTGCTATTTTTGTGGTCGTCGATTCACTTGTCTCAATAATTTTATCATTAAGAGTCATTGAGCTTTTGCGGTAGGTTTCTTTCCGTTTTGGAGGAGAAACTTTTTTGTTGGACATCTACAAGGTTCCATTCAAGTTGAAAAGCTTAGTTTTCATTATGCGTATCTGTATATATATGTTCACAGTTTATTCTTTTCATATTCCAATATGTGCGTCTGCGCACGCTGTAACGCGTCTCATCCTTTTTCCATACAATTTTTGGTACGATTCTACATTAGTTGACCCAAAAAATGAAAACCGTGAATTCCGCTAAAACTTCGTCTAGGGGGGTTACTTGGTATGTTGAACACGAATATGATGTTTATTTCGTGCGACAGCGCCATCCGGTGGAGTTTAAATCACGGATTTGCCCGAAACTTGGCACAGAGGCGTTATTCGGCCTGCTGATGCCAAATACCACATTGGTTTTGAACCGTAGCGTCATTTTCTCGGGTTACGGTAGCTACATAGCTACACGGTAACGGGTGTAAAACATACCAATCATTTCTGCCTGGAACGGCGATTCGGACGCTCGTGAAGCTTTGCACACACGACCACCACCGCGCGCTACACACCCTGCTGCGGCTTTTGTCTAAGCAAAGCACAGGGAAAATTACATTTGTCGATTTATGATTTTGACCCATACCGTAAGCCTACCGTAATCATGCAGGGAGACGTTTTCGTACGGAAAAAGGGTGTCATTTCTAATCAGCATGTCGAATAACCCCTCTGGCGAAGTTACAGCGGCTTTTGAGATTCTGACCCCCTACCATATACCCACCGTGACCCGAAATGATGCTACGATACAAAGCCAATATGATATTTAGCGTCAGCGGGCCGAATAACCCCTCTGGGCCAAGTTTCGGGCAAATCCGTGATTTTGACCCGCTATCGTAATCCTACAGTAATTCCATCGGATGGCGCTGTCGCACGAAATAAACATCAATTCGTGTTCAGCCTACCAAATAACCTTAGACGAAGTTTTGACGAAATTCACGGTTTTCATTTTTTGGGTCATCTAATGTGGAATAGCGCCCAATTTTTTTGGCTACTCCCCTTACTTGTTCTGGGATGTTCTGGGAATTTTGGCGACTCAGTGCCTAGAAAGAGCAAACCGAGAAGAGGACGCTGCAAAGGCACTTTGATGTAAGAAAAGTCCGAGATGACGCGCATTGTGTACATTGCGTGCAGTTGCACAAATTTGCAATATGTATGACGATACTATCTATTTTTAACCTGCATCACTATTTTGATGTGTACAGCACATGAAAATTGAGGAAATGCTCAAAATCCATCCGAGAGGGGTAGTATACTGATCACAATTATAATGCTGTTTTGTCTATCCCGTAATCACCGTTATGCGAATATGCACTTCCTTGTTTCATGCTTTTAGTTACACTAAAGAGTTGAATCGCTTTTGTTAGCTTGAAAATGAGTCGCGAAAAATACGTTAAAATGTATGAAGATTGTTTCAAAGTTGAATCTTCGGTGATTTACCTTACTTGAACAAGCGAGATCAATTTTGGGTAATAAAGTGCTGGCCAAAACTATAGATCCAATATTAAAAACTGCCGTAGTTCATCTGATTCTCAACGAATTGATCTGAGATTGGTACAGCTGTGTGTTCAATAGGCTTCCATCAGTGACCGGAGCGGATGCCGCTTTCGTTGGATTATTCAGGAAGAACAAAAATTTCGAAAAAAGCAGGTTCGAAGGTTGGTCAAAACTATAGATCCACCTAAAATTTCTGTCTGCTGAAGTAACTCTCGGCTTCCAAAGTTTTTTGTGCATATACATAGTCGAAAGTCAAAGCAGTGGCCTTAGTTAAGCTGTGCAATACCTTTATAAGAAACGCTTATCTGCTTTTTTTCACTTAAAAATATTTTTATGCATATTTTGTTCCCGACAATGTGTTTTTGTAGAGGATTCCGTACTTTTTTGACTGGTTTGAAAGTGATAGGGTTCCATCTATCTTATAGATGCTTAGCAGTGTGAACAGTAGAAAATAATTCGAGTTTTTATATCCAAAGCGCACCCGACATAGACCTAACCGCAGGCCTGCGCTCGAATTTCTGCCTTCAAAATTGGTGCACGCTATTTTTGTAAGCTCTAAATAATGTAGAAGCATCTTTTAGCATTATTTACATGATAAGAAGTTTGTAAATAGTCACGATTGTCTGCGAAGTCGCACTTTGATTCTTTTTTAAAGCATAAGTCTTGCGGTGTGTTCGGCAATCTCAAAGTACGTACCAAGTGGTACCTTCCTTGAATTTTGCCACTATTTAGCTGCTAACTAGTGAATACACCTTGCCTTGCATGTTGCCTTGTGCCTCACATAATCATTACGGTCAGTACCAGAAATAACTTCAAGGCTTGTTGTAAATCACTTGATGCGGGATTGAAGTCCTCAGCTAGCCTGCATACTAGGATCTGCAGAAATCTGCAACCACTGCATACGGACTCTCATACATACTAACAATGTCATTACTCCAGTTAACACTCATGACAACATTGCAGAAAGAGTTTGAAGGCATAAATTTGAACGCAGGCCTGCGGTTAGTTCTATGTCGGGTGCGCTTTGGATACGAAAACTCGAATTTTTTTCTACTGCTCACACTACTAAGCATCTATAAGATAATGGAACCCTATCACTTTCAAACCAGTCAAAAAAGTGCGGATTCCTCTATAAAAACACATTCTCGGTAACAAAATACGCATAAAAATGTTTTTTAAGTGAAAAAAAGCAAATAAGCGTTTCTTATAAAGGTATTGCACAGCTTAACTAAAGCCACTGCTTGGGCTTTCGGCTATGTATATGCACAAAAGACTTTGGAAGCCGAGAAACTTTAGCAGACAGAAATTTTAGGTGGATCTATAGTTTTGGCCAACCTTCGAACCTGCTTTTTTCGAAATTTTTGATTTTTTTCCTGAATAAATTAACGAAAGCAGGATCCGCTCCTGTCACTGATGGAAGCCTGTCGAATACACAGCTGTACCAAATCTCAGATCAATTCGTTGAGAATCAGATGAACTACGGCAGTTTTTTATAGTGGATCTATAGTTTTGGCCAGCACTGTAATACAGTACCCACACTAATTATTCGACAGAAAACGCAAAAACTGACAATTCGCGTTTTTTCGTTTTTTCTTCATAACTTCCTTCAAATTGCATGAAATACAAATCCGAAGAAAGCATGATGCTCAGCTCGTCAAGATGAATCTTCTGATGTACTGCACTCTCGTATTATTCTGTTTTCAATCTGCTCGATTTTTGTGCGAGGACGGGTATTCGTAGTGGTGTAACTCAGCGAAGAACACACATGGACGATTCATGTAAACATGGTTCAGCAGTGCTGTCCCCGTAGATTATTATGTACTAGTGATTAGCGAAGGATTCCCTTCCCATTGGGAAAGATAGGCCGTTTAATTTTGAAAAAATCGATGTCTTTCAAATTTTCGTTACCGTAACCATACAGTAAGACGCTAATTTGCAAAGCAGGTGTGTTATTCCTGATCAGCAGGTCAGATAACCTCTATGCGCAAGTTTTCCAAGGAATTCGGAATCTTTCATTTCTTCTCGTTCTGGGCTGTGAAGCTCGCCGACGAGTTTTGGCTAAAACATTGATGATCTTGGATTGACCGGAAACTTCGCCCATAGAGGTTTTCTGACCCGCTGATTACAGAAATAGTGCCCTCTGTGCAGCATAAGTTCTTTTGGCAGAGTTATGCTGAGAGGAATGCTGCGATACTACGCAAGTTCCTAAGTTTGTCTGCCCTTTGCGCGTGTCTGTTGGACAACTTACCTGCTCCTTTTTATAACTTGAAATCATTAGAGGCAGTGCTCTTAGAGCATGCTTAAACTGGGCCCTTATCTGTATTAATCGCCGAACTGTTAGCTGACGAACTCACGTCCTCATGAAAATCGTTCGAAATTTTAAGATCGCATATTTTGGCCAAATATCGCCGCGAATGGTTACAGATGACTCTGATTGTAGATATTATGTTTATATACACATGTAAATTGATAATTTATGCCGCATACTGCTGCTTAACCCTTGTGCCAACTCTTACAGCTGTAACTCAAAGTTTACAAAAAATCGATAAGCCGATATCGACCGATGACGAAATGTAATCTATCAGACCAGCGCGGCTCCTAATGCTGGGTTCATACTGATTCCCATGTTCGGGATGTTCCCGCACAGTCCCGCAATGTTCCCGCACTGTGCTGGGAACTGTGCAGGGACTGCAACTGTGCTGCATGTGCTGCAGCGCCCCGCACGCGTTTTGAACGGCCGGAGTTGGAGAATTTTGACCGTTTTCAACGGTTTTTCTTCCAGATTTCTCTCATTTTGGCCTTATTCCTCTACCCCGCTCCTTTTTTTTGATCAGCAGAACTTCGAGCTCGAAGCGGGGTTGAAGAATGAGCGCTTTTCGCCATGAATTAGGGAGTAGGAGCAATTCTGAAGTTGCATGAATTGGGACTTTTCTCTTGTTTTCTAATGAGTTTCCTTTTTGGCTATTCTCAGCCCCTTTCCTTGTGATGAGAAAAGGTGTGAAATTAAAGCGAGTTTAAAAAAATAACCTTGTTCTGTTCCATATCCGGGCAGATTGCTCTTTTTGTGCTTGTCCATTTTCTTCCATTTTTGCCCAGGTCTGCTTCATGTGTTCTAGAAGGCGCTGCGTAGTCTCGCATCTGTATTGAAAGGGTCATGGACAGGTTTCTAGAACACATGAAGTAGGCCTGCACAAAAATGGCAGAGAAGATGGACGAGCGCAAGAAGGTTCATCTTCCCGGATACATGATGAGAACCTCGTTCAATCCTCAACTCCGCTTCAAGTTCACAGCTTTTCTCATCACAGGGGGAAGCGGGATAGAAG